CTCTCGAAACGTCGGGTATTTAAAAAGTTTAATATACGCGATAAATTCCGTAAAAACTAGTATTATTTCAACATTAAAACTTATATTTAGAGACTACTTTTCTATGAATAAGTTTGGCATTATAGAATTAATACAGAATTCTTTGATCCTGCGGTCTAAAGAAAAGTCGGTTACTCTATGTACATATTTTTATTTTCATTCTACTGTCAATTTACGACATATTAAACTATAAAACACAGCACTTTAAACCATAAAACCTTATATTTATAGACTACTTTTCTATAAAAAAGTTTAGCATTATAGAATCTCTACAAATTTGCCTATCCTGTGGTCTAAACAAATTAATTACTCTATGTATTTTTATTTTTAATCTACCGTAAAATTGCGCTATTTTCGTATGGTCGGCAAATGTCGTAAATTAACAGTAGAATAAAAATAAAAATACATAAAGTAACTGACTTTTATTTTAACCACAGGATAGGAAATGTCCTATAGATTCTATAATGCCAAACATCTAGAACGATAGCCTCTAAATATTAGTACTTATGGGTTAAAGTGCTGTGGATGGGTGCGGTCGGATCCAACTGTTTGAACTTTGACGGAACATCGCCTTGGTCAGATCCGACCGTACGGCCATTGAAAGGCTAGAATGCGCTAGTCCCGACTGCGTATGTCGTCCGGGGCGCCTGGCGACTGTAGGTAATTATTTCACGCAGGTAGCAAGAGTGACAGAGGGCTGCCTTAAGAAACTATTCTGTTATTACATTATAAATTAAATGTTAGTAAGACATATAAATAGAATAAAATAAATGTGATATTGTGGTGATTAATTTGTGGTCACAGGCATAAATTCCAATTAAATAATTAAGCCATGGAACAATTTTTTCTAAGCCATATACATATTTGTTTCGCACAAGCCTCTGTGTTATAATTCACTATATTGCACTAATCCATTAGTTATTGGACACCAATCCGTCAACAATATCGTCATTATAACCATATTTCATCCTGCTAACGGCCTTGGATTCCGTCTGAGTAGGTACTACCTTAATACCAATTTCTGTCGACAAATAGCATCGAAGTATTCGGGTCTATAAAGTATAGAGAGCTAATATAATTTCAGGCTATGAAGCATTCCATCTTAACCATTAAGGTTTACCGCATTCCATGGACACCTGCCCATGGAATGCTGTTACCATAAAGTGGTGTAAGTTCTTTTGTCACTTCAATTATTTAAAAACTATTTTTTACGTGTGACTTCGTCCGCACCAAATTAAACTCCTTTTTTTCCAATATTTCAAACGCTTTGTTCGTTCCAATGAAAAACAAAAATAAATAATATACTTTGAGTAATAAACTTCTCCTTTTTGAAGACGGTAAAATTTACCATAAACTTTTAACAAAAAACGTTAGAAGGGTATACTTTCATATCTTTTATCGTATCCTTTCCAAATTGCAACGTTCGTAGGAAGCAATTTGCACTTTAACCTCGAGAACAAGCCACGATGTGATTAATGTTGAGTAATATACGTAAAAAGTTTATCTTCTGGTCGTAGAAGGTATAAAACTTTTTTTTTCACCAACGCTTTTAACGTATAGCTTTTTGATCGACTTAAAAAAAGGTAGGATTATCAATTCCTCGACCCATCTTTTTTATACATGTTCGAGCAAAACTTCTTTGTTTATAAACTGATTTTATTTCAAATGTTGTTTGTTATTTGGGGTGGTAAGAAACAATCACCCTTAAAGTTAAAAAAATATTGGAAGAAGTTTTCAATGTTACCATTAAGGCGAAATCCTTATCATTTGTTATCCTGTACTTGTTTGTTGTTCTTGATATACCACCATAAACTCCCCCAATTAACTTAAAGTAGTAAAAAAATAAATAAAAAAAATTAAAATCGATTTCAAAATTTTTATAGAATCGCTATCGCCTATGATTATCTGCAACGCAAGAGAAATTGCAGGTACGTTGCTGACCTTTTAAAAATAAGTGTGCTTCTTGAAGGTCTATTCTTGAAGGTCATCAAGTCGTATTAGTCCAGAAAAACTACTGGCGGAAATAAATTCCACACGATCGAGCGAAGCCAAAAAATCCGCATAAATTGCATGGTAATGTGGCGCCAATCGGTGAGATGAGAAGGATGGAATTTTGAGTTCTGTTATGGTGTACGATGGTGAAGTTCATAATCTGGAATTAATTCTTACAATTCCTCTGAGAACTTTGATCCTTTGGACTATATCGGTTGCTCTTTTTCTACTGATGATTAACACATCTTGCTCTGCGTCTACATTATTAAGTGCCTGTTCCTTAATCTTGAGCTGTTTTTATTTGTTGTTCCTATTTCACAGCAGCTCATGTTTCCATCGTGCTGGCTTACATACTAAATTAAATTTATAGCAATTATATTTGTCCAAAGACCGCCAAATGCCACACCTGCCGTTTTGTTTTGGTTTATAATGAACCAGGCTAATACAGTCCACTTAATTGTTCAACCCGCATTACCATTCGTCATTCGCGCACCCGTAATTGTGGTTATCCATCCGAGATTCAAACCAGAGACCTATCGCCCAACCAAACTCTATGTTGCCGAATTTAGTAAATTCTTCATGATATTCTTTTTTTTTTCAATATATTATATAGCCTTTGTTTACCTTTCTTAAAAAAAAGCAGGGTTGTAATCACAACCAGTGATTGCATGGAAACTTGTGGTAAGCTTCACCACAAGGATGCTCCTAATTGTTCATAAATCTTGGTTATATTAACGTGTCTATGTTTATTTCCAGTGCCAGTCAACATCCACTTTCGCGTGATCACTGCAAGATCCGTATCAGGCAACTGAATCACAAATTTATCCTGAGAATCTATATTGCAGACATGATAAATTATTTTACTAGGCTGCACTAAAAGTATCGGGAATGGAATATTCCCACTGTTCCTGTCATATTAAAATCTTTTTAATTGAAAACTTCTTGGTTTTAAAAATTGAATATAATTTATTTATTTAAAAAAAGATTCTCGGTCTTGTCACAAAGTTTTGTCAAACTTGTTTAGTCGTTGAGAAAATGGAATTGACTCGAGAAAATTCAAGAGCGATGATTTATTATGACTTTCGAAGTAAAAAAGTAAGGTAAAGTTACAACCTCTCAGAAATGAGGGGAGGCCTGAGCCCAGCAGTGGGCTCAGGCCTCCCCTCATTTGGGTCTCAGTCATCAGGGCTTAGGGCAAGGAAGTGTCCGCCGCGCTGCCCAAAATGCGTGTTGACGAACTTCACATGTCTTCGAAAATATTTTTTTTTCTTATTCCTCAGATATGCAGGTTTCCTCACGATGTTTTCCTTCACCGCCGAGCACGTGGTAAATCAGCACTTAAAATTGCAATTAACAATTTCATTGGTGCCGGCGGGGATCGAACCCGGGTTACTCGCGTTCTGTTATATTTAAAACGAGCGTTAACCACTGAGCTACCACAGCTCTTTCACTTTCACTTTCGAAGTGGTTTAACAAAAAAACAGTGTGTTGACCGGATGAGTTCTGCATTTGGTGACGAAGCGCCATCCAAAACCACAATTTATCGCTGGTTTGCTGAATTTCAACGTGGACGTGTCAAGCTCAGTGATGATCCCCGTCAAGGTCGTCCAAAAACTGCAGTCACCCAAGAAAATGTTGATGCTGTGCGTTAGCTGATTGAGGAAGATCGACATGTGACATACCGCGAAATTCAGGCAACTTGAGACATTGGCATGAGTCAAATATAAATAATCTTGCATGAACAATTAGGTGTAAAAAAGTTGTTTTCCCGGCTCGCGTTACTTGGTGCCTCAGAACTCTCGAAAGATTCCACGCAGGATACTCAAATGCTGTATACAACATCGTATCAGGTGACGAACCTTGGATATACGCGTACGAACCCGAAACAAAAAACCAGTCACGAGTTTGGGTGTTCGAAAATGAGTTAAAGCCAACAAAAATTATTCGTTCACGGAGTTTTGCAAAAAAAAATGGTGGCCAAGTTTGTCTCCAAAACTGGCCATGTTACGACTATTCCTCTTGAAGGATAAAGAGCGGTTAATGCAGAATAGTATGTTAGTATTTGTTTGCCACAGGTCGTTTCTAAACTCCAACCTTAGAACCAACCAGAGAACTGCAACCGCCGCATCATCCTCCATCACGACAATGCGAGTTCTCACACACCGCACACAGAACAAAAGAGTTTTTAGAGCAAGAAAACACAGAATTACTAGACCATCCGCCGTACAGCCCCGACCTAAGCCCTAATGATTTCTATACTCTCCCTAAAATAAAGATTAAATTGCGTGGACAGAGATTTTCATCACCTGAAGAAGCTGTGAACGCCTACAAAACGGCCATTTTGGAGACCCCAACTTCCGAATAGAATGGTTGCTTCAATAATTGGTTCCATCGTATGGAAAAATGTGTCAAATTTCGCGGAGAATATTTCGAAAAGCAATAAATACATTTTTAAGTAATAATGTTGTGTCACTTCCTTGATTCCCGAAATTTTTAGTGCCGCCCTCGTACTGCTGGGATAAAAAATAGCAGGTGTCCTTTCAGATGACTAATACTCTCACAGCGGGGATTAAAATGTCACATCCTTTCCCTTAGAACTACCACTTAGAGGTTAGACATGGAAATAATTAAACCCTTTAGAGCTATCACATTGAGAATAGACAAGGATTTTTAGTGCTATTATATAGAACAGTAATTATCAGACTACTTGGTAATATAGTGAGAGAACATATATATACATATATGTTGCTTAATACAAGACAGAATATGATGAAAATGATGTCGTGTAAAATACATATATAAAAATAAAGAAGGTACAGTAGAATTGAGATATTTTTTTTTATATATATATATATATATATATATATATATATTTGTATATATATACTTATATATTTATTGTATTGTATATACTGTATATATATTGTAAATACTCGCAGTATATGACGGAATATGACGCGGGAAAAATAATGAAAGGAATTGGGTTGGTACTGACAAATATCATCAAAGGGAATATACATACAAAAGAAGTAGTGGAACAATTAAGCGACACTGCAAAGATAGCAACTGAATTCTTCTATGAAGACTCGGCTGCAAGAAAATATTTCGTTTTGTCTGCAACAACACAAGTATTAAAAGAATCAGTGAAGAACGCAAAGACTGAGGGTTATTGTTTAGAAAGGACTTTCCTGAGAACATCAGAACAGCACAGATTATTCGGAGATATTTGAAACACATAAACACATAAAACAGGAACTCAAATAAAAGCGGTTGAAAAGAAAAAGACAACCCCAAAAAAGGAAAACTGGAAGAGCCCACTGCAAGTTCAGTATCTCACTCGTAGTGGGCAGAATTACCGAGTACAACCCAACAAACAGATATATCGTCCCAGTCAGCAACTATGGAGGAGAATCCAACACATGGGAGCCCCACTAACTCAGAGAAAGCGAAACCGCCGTCGTTAAAGAGAGAGAACTGGAAAGTTAAAACAGTGTAAAGAGTAAGAAATTACAAGTGACCCGGTGTTAATAAACTGGATAAAGTGTTATAAAATACCCTTCACTCAAATACGAAATTTATATGAGGCTCCTACCCACTCATCACCATACTCAGAAATCCAGTAATTATTAGAAATAGGTGCAGTTTCGGAATTTCTATTTTGTGAAGGGTAGATTATATCCCCAATATTTGTTATTCCAAAACAGATGGATGTTATTATTTTAAATTTAAAAATTCTTATTTCAAATAAGAGAATATTAGAATAGCTTATGAATTAATTTACAAAAATTATATCATGGCAAAAATTGATCTCATAAAGGCCTTTTTAGTATAGCCCTTTTAGACGGGTCAAAGAAATTGTTAATAATCAGATTCAATGAGAAATTGTACCACTTTAACTGTTTACCATTTGGCATTTGCTCTGGTCTTTTTGTTTTCACCAAACTAATGAAAACAGCTTGTACCTATCTTAAAAGTAATGATATTATTTTAAATATATTTAGATGACAGCATGTACTATAATTCTTGTCAGTTAAAATGTAGGGAAAATATAACACTAGCATGTAAATTATTTCAAAAATTGAGATTCTCTGTAAATTTTGTAAAAAGCATTTTAACTCCAAAACAGACCTGTAAATGTTTAGGCACTATTCTATATTCAAGAGATCAATCCTTATCTGTTCCGAAAGATAAACATTTGTCCATTTTGGAAAATATTGGGGGTTTCGTTAGAAAAATTCATTGTAAGATTAGAAAATTTTACAATTATTGGGTAGGTAACACCAGTTTGCCCAGCTGTATAGTTTTTTTTTACATGGGGAAATGTTTTTTTTTTTATTTATTACACAAACATACAGTCGAATATTCTTTACACAACTTCCGCCAAACTGCAGGGCAGTTTGTTGGCGAATACATCACCCTCTTACATTTTATGTACCTACTGTACTTAAGAATTTAAAATACACATAAACTGTAATTTAAAACGCAATCCTTAAAAACTTAAAAATAGGAATTTTAAATTTACACTAATTTAAAAGATTTAAAATAATTAAAACTTATTTTAAATCTTTTAAATTAAACACATTAAAAATAACAAAATTTAAAACTATAACTTTAAGCCAATATTAATTATTATACATATAATTATCCAGCAACCACGTTTTTAACTTCTTTTTAAATATTTCTTTATTACCACATTCGTTTTTAGAAAATATCTCATTTAAAATTCGTGACACAAGATACTTTCTCGTCCTCTTGCCGTAATAATTATTAACTCTATGCTCAACGTATTTCCATCGCGAAGTAATTCTAATATTTTTGTTAAATGTTTGAACATTTAACAAAAATATTAGAATTAGAATCTCTAGAGTTTAAAACATTTGAATGTTTTAAACTCTAGAGATTTAAATTGATCTATTGCAATTAAGTACTTAAATTTTACATGCACAGGTAATATTCTAAAATTTTTAAATAAATTATTATAATTTCCGTCTATACTATATTTATTCTTTGTTTTTTCATCAATAAACAATTTTATTAATCTAATTTTCAACTTAAGAATTTTATCTGTATATGTTTGAAAAGTACGTTCATATGCAATTAGTCCATAACTCAGGGCTGAATCAGCTAGTGCATAGTAAAGTATATATAAAATTGACCAGCTTACTGTAAGTTTTAAGTTATTAAGCCTAGATAATATGGATCTTAACCTATCACAGACAATGTTAATATGTAATTTCCAACTAAAACTACATTCTATCGTTAGCCCTAAGTACTATAATTCACAACTTCTACGGTTTTACATTCGCATTTTTCCAGTTTATTATATAAGCATTTGTACAAATGACCAATGATGTTAATTTCCTCACTAGGTTTTCTCATATAAGGAGAGTGTAGAATCATATACTTTGTTTTAGATACGTTAAGTATAATGCCGTTGTCATGTGCCCATTTTAGAATACTAATGAAATCATCCTGCAACCTCTACTCAATAATTTTAACATCCCTGTCAGCGTACATCAGGTACGTGTCATCGGCTTACATATATGTGCAACAAAGTTTTACAACGTTATCAATGTTATTCACTTGCATGATGTACCCAACAGGTCCGAATATGGAGCCGGTTGGCACACCCAGTGTTACGTTGGCTTCTTCCCCAGTCGTTTCGTTGATCATAGTGTGTATTTTTTGATTCTTCAGGTAATTGCGGAACCATTTGTTCATTGGGCCTCGAAGCGCACACTCTTGCATTGCTTATAGAAGCATTTCGTGATCCAACGTGTCGAACGCTTGTTTGAAATTGATGAACAATACAACGACATAATTTTTATTGTTTAGTTTATCATTAACATCATCGGCAAATCGTGATAGTGCGGTAGATGTGCTGTATGTTTTCCTTAAACCCATGCTGTGCTGTAGATATTATATGATTTTTTTCCAAAACGTACTAATTTGCTTAACTATTATTTTTTTCAACTATTTTATTTATTACTGATAATATAGCAATCGGCCTATAATTTAAATATTATAAATGCTTACCTTTTTTAAGTAATTTGGATATGCACCGTTTTGCACGCACATATTCACAAATTTTGCAAGCAACGGACTGATATCTTTCTTTACATGCTTTAAATCCTTTACTCTTATTTTATCTACACCCGGTGATTTATGAAAGTCTAATTTATCTATAATTTTTCAATTTCGTTCGATGATACTGCTTTGTAACGGAAAGATACGTTACTCGTTTTTACATTAGTGGTACGATCTAAAAATTTATAATTACAATAACGTTTTATTTTCCCAATTTCCTCTGTAAATGTTTTAACGAAATTTGAACATATATTAGTCACCGTATCTGTCTTTCCTAAATATTTCATAATAACACTATCTAAATTATTATTATTCTTTCCCAACCAACCATTAACGATTTACCAGATCTTCCTACAATCTCCTTTACAATTTAAAATTTAATTTTTTCTAGATTTGTTTTTCCCTAAATTTATTAGTTTGTTTGTTTTGTTTCTGTGCCGTGTGTATTCTAGCCTATAATTCATATTTTTGGGATAGTAGTTTTAATTCTTCCATAAAAGATAGTTTATTAGTATTAGGTGGTCTATAACATAACATAAACACTCACGCCTGTCACCCAGAGGGGTAGGCAGAGACTACAGACTTCCATTTGGCACGATCCTGACACACCTCTCTCGCCTCCTTCACATCCATACACCTCCGCATACATGCTCGTCGGTCAAGGGTACTCCTAATTTGCCCCGTTTTCAATAAATCGCCAATTTGGTCGATAAATTTTCGCCTAGGACGTCCCTTTCCGACTCTGCCATTCACTTCTGCAACATAAATTTTCTTTGTCAGTCTTTCCTCATTCATTCTTTCCACATGACCAAACCACCGAAGCATTCCTTTCTTAATCCTGGTCACAACGTCATCTTGCAAACCACACTCTTCTCTTATTACACAATTTCTTACCCTGTCATTAAGATTCAGCCCTAACATACTCCTTAACGACCGCATTTCTACTGCGTTCATTCTACTCTCGTGGTCTATAGGTGGTCTATATAATGCTATAATGTGAATGTCTCTTCTTGCTATTTTTATTAGGTCACGCATACCCACCTCGCGCAGATAAGGACGGGTTATGTCAGACTCGCACCGTCTATAACCCCATAGTGTTCCACCTTTGTCGCATATTGGCAGGGCCACGGGTACGCTTTCGCACACATCTGCAGCCCCTCCAGCGCTGGTCGCCTCGTAGCGGTCCCTCCTTGGGAGAGGATTACTCCTCTCCTTTCTCTTTCTCTGGTAAGGCGCACCAGAACACATGGCGCGGCCTCCATTTTCACATGTGCGACAGACACTCCGAGTTAAATATGCAGTATTCGAATGAGTCGATAGAGATTGAACTATTAACCAAAAAATTAGTCACTATTTTAGCACTTATAATAGGCCATAGGGTACAAAACCTATAAACCGAGGTTAAAATTTCTGATTTTATAAAAACTTCTAATAACAATACTTCAACCGATTCTACATCATAAAATTGGTACACGTAAATTAGAAATATGCCAAGTGAATACATTAACATCGTATATTAGGAGAAAAGAACTTTTCAGACACAATCAATACTGAACAATTATACTTAACATTTAGAAAACCATATCGAGCGGCTTCATTACAAACATTAAGCCGATAGGTTAAATCCACTCTGAGTAAGGAAGAAATAAATATGTCTATTTTTACAGAACACAGCACTAGACATGCTGTGACTTAAGCCGCAAACAAGGCAGGTTTAAATATGGATCTTATAAGGAAGACTGCGGGTTGGTCAAATAATTATGAAACTTTTGCCAGGTTTTACAATAGACCTCTATTGGAAGATCCATTATTGTTCAGTACTGTTTATAATACATCAAGTGTTAGTGATTAAGAATAGAACAAATTAATAAGTAATTAAAGAATGTAATCAAAATTACTTTAATTGTTTTATTACACATGGTCTTAAAATTGAAAAATAGTTCTTTTATTCACAACCCAGTCTTCAAACATCTACATTGTAATAATATCTCGTACAAGGAGGATCCTTATACGAGAATAAAGCTTGTGGAAAGTTGTAAATGAATAGTGTGCGCGTAAAAAAACATTTACTTACCTTTATTTTGATAGACAATACGCGAACTCGCCGGCGTGGGATTTCATAAGATGTTTTGTTCTCTATTTT